TCGCATCCCGATCGCATCCCGATCGCATCCACATCGGCCACCCGGTCTCTGAGATTTGCCCGCGCTTAGCCTGGCTGCAGCGCTCGGTCCGCGCGTTTGTTGGCCACGCGTGTGTGTCACTTTGCCGCTAACCTCCCGCTGCGGTGTGGAGGAGTGGCGGAGCAGTCACAGCAGATCAGGGATGTGACACTTTCTGCAAACGAGTCCGCAGTCCCTTTCATCCCACCCGCAACAACGCAACGCACCGCTACCCGCACCGCACCGCAGCGCAGCGCAGCGCTCTCGGCCTCGGTCTGCCTTCATGAGCGAGCCGCTTCGTCGTCTCAGCCCACCTTTGCGCTACTGTCTCCCGGCTGCTTGCTCCCCTTCCGAGCTCACACCGTCCGCTTAAGAGGCAAGGCCCACTCGCGCAAGCGGCCATGCTCTGACTCCGCCCCATTCTCCCGCATCCTCAACCCTCGACATCGACCTCGACTTCAACATGAGCCGCTCTCCGACCCGGCGTCGCTCCGGCGAAATCGCGCCTGCCGTCGACAAGGTCAACCCCACCGAGACTCGCAGCATCACCTTCGAGTGGCCTTTGCATGACCTCAAGGAGCACTTTGACTCTTCCAAGTCCGACACAAAGTCCAAGGTGATCAGATCCGTCCCTTTTGGTGGTGGCAGATGGACCGTCTTCTTCTATGCGCAGTCGGGCCTCCAGCAGTTCTGCTCGCTCTACCTCAATGCCGAGCCGCTGCCCGAAGAACGCAACTGCAACAAGTCGCCCTGGGAGACTCTCCTCTCCTCCAACAGCCCCGACCGTTCCCACACCTCGCACCAGGACAAGGCCGTAGCTAGTCGTAACGATGGCTGGTCTCGTCAAGGCCTCTTCCGCTTCACCTTCAAGATCCTCACGCTCAACACTGGCGCCGTCTTGGCAACCAAAGAGGCGTGCGATCACGCCTTCAGCCACAAGACTTCCAACTGGGGATGGGCTCAATTCTCCTCGCGCGACACCGTCTTCTACAACAATGCAGAGGTCCAGCAGTCCAACGCCTTCCTCATCTCGGTCACCATCACCGCCAATCCTGAACGCCCTCGCCCGCTCACCGTGGGTGTGTCGGTGCCACCGGCGCTCGTCGAGGCCATGGGCTCGCTCCTCGACGATCCTGATCACAGCGACGTCGTCTTTGTCATCCGTCGCAAGCGGCGCCATCCCGCCACGGGCGTCATCGTCACGCGCGAGCGTCGCATCTACGCCATCAAAAAGATCCTCGCCTCTCGCTGCGAGTACTTTCGAGACATGTTCGACAGCGGCTTCCTCGAGGCAGACGCCACCGCCAGCTCTTCCGACGACGAGATGCAAGACCAGCCCACTTTCGCTCCGCCATCGTCCCGAGGCCTCGGCCAAGACCAGCTGGGCCGCCCGATCGGCGCTCTCGCCTCTTTCAGCGACGAGGACGACGACGACCTGGCGCTCGAGGATTCGGACGAGGAACTGGATGCAGACGAGGTGTACGAGATGGGCACCTGGAACTTGCACGAAGACGCCAGGCGTGACGACATTCTGATGGCACGCCAAGGAACGGCCCTTCCTCCCGCCAGCAGCAATGACACTTCGGCTTCGCGTCATCAGCGCGAAACAAGCTCGGACGTACCGCAGGTGTGGCCGACGTCGGCTGCCACAGTCGCGCCAACACCGTTTATGCCGTCCAGGAAACAGCCGTCTCAGCAGAACACGCCTCCCCAATCGCGCAGCCGACAGAACCACGATCAGGACGCCGGTACGGATAGCGGAGAAGACGCAGCTCGCGCTCCGGGCATGTCGGCCTTCCAGACGCCTCAGCACTCTCCACGAGAGCTGAGAAACGATGGCGCTACAGACCTATCGCAGTTACGAGATGCGCTCCCTGCTCGTGCCAAGCTTGCTGCTCAGCCGGCTTCGAGAGTGCCTCAACGTCGCAGATCGGACGAGTCGACGGGGGCAAGCGCACCGACAGGCAAGAAGAGGCGCAAGGTGGTTGTTCGCGACGCTGCCTACGCGACGTACAAGGCGCTGCTCTACTACCTCTACACCGATACCGTCGCATTTGCGCCTCTGCACTCGCATTTCTACGCGCAGTCTGCCGCGTCGACAGAGGACGTGGATGTTCCCGACGACACATTAGACTCGTTCGGCGCACCTCTGAACAAGCCCGACCGGGCCAGCAGTGCGTCGGACGCTTGCGCCAGCTCCGAGAGCGGCGATGTGTCGTCGCGCGCACCATCGACAGCGACGGGCAACAGCTTTGCCAAGGACCGCCGTCGCGCACACGTGCTTCGCCAGCAGGTGATTGACGAGTACTGCTCGACGCACGTCCACGTCCCCGCACCTTGCTCGGCAAAGTCGATGTACCGGCTGGCAGACAAGCTGCAGATCCCCGAGCTCAAGGATCGCGCACAGAAGGAGCTCGCCAAGAACCTGTCGGTGGACAACATCGTGTGGGAGGCCTTCTCGGGCTTCAACTCGCAGTTCCCCGCCATCCGAAAGATGGAGACCGACTTCCTGCTCAAGCACTGGTCCGAGGTCAAGGGCACCGAGGTGATGAAGAGCATCTTTGCCCGACCCACCGCGCATCCAGGTCTCGCCGATGTCTGGCCGCACCTGCTCAGCCAGCTCGAGTTCCGCGGCGGCAGCAGCGGCGGCAAGAACGACGACAAGTCGCCCCGTCCCTGAAGGGTTCAATCTCAACACAACGCCCGCATCGTCTCCCGCACTCGTGAGTCGCAACAATCGCAGCCTGCCCACCATGCCGAGTGCTGCTGCAGTTGTACGAGGGCCTGGTTGGCCGAAGGGGAAAGCGATCGGGCAAGATCGGGGATCAGCGTGGAAATTGGAAATCAGTCGAAAAATGAAGTGCGCGTTTGAAATCGAGGCGAGGCGTGGCTGAAGTGCGCGTCTGCAAGCGGAGAGGGGCTTTCGCTTTGAACTGGCTGGCTGAGGGTGGGGTGCCGGCACGTCTCACGCGCCCGTGCCATCTGTGCGGTGCAGGCAGGCGATGATGATCATGCTTGCGGCCAGCGAGAGGCGGCGTGACAAACACGGCCGGGCGCGGGGGCAGCAGATGTGCGTGTGCACTCACTCACTCACTCACTCACTTTCTTCGGCTCGCTCCCTAGAGATCGATTTCCGCTCGGCCATCATTCCATCACACCGCAGCGCAGCCCCTCTTTCTTTCTCCCCCGCTCATCATCCGCCGTCCTTTCCGCATCACGTTCATCACCGACGCCCACTCATTCTAGCGCTTGCTACCCTTCTGGGCGTGCACATCACCCTTCGCATCCCAGAAGGCTCATACCCCACGCTGGAATCGTGACGATTTGAGCCTATCCGGAACGCGGCGGTCAAAGCAAACGGGCCTCTGCTGAGCTAAAAACAAGTTTGGCTTGCCGGCTCTCTTCGTATTGCTCTAACGACACTCTCAACGACACGTGCATACCTTGCTTCCGCTTCACCTTCACTGCTGCCAGCTGCGTCGTCCCACAGCCAGCTAGCAGCGGCCGTCATTTGCCCGGAGCAATCAGCACCCATCCAAGTTCGCATGACAGCACGGCTCGATTGCTCTTGATCCTTTCACCACCCCGTCTCACCTAGGCATGTTCCCCAGCAACGCCGGCAACATGTCGATGGGCGGTCTCAACAACAACGGCAATGTCAACGGCGGCAACATGGGCGCCGGCCTCGGCTTTGGCATGAACAACAACGGCAGCCAGATGCACGGCAACATGGCCAACGGCGTCCAGTCGCAGGAGACCGGCAACTCCCAGTCCACCTCCGAATACACCCTCGCCGGCATCCTCCACCATCTCCAGAGCGAATGGCGCCGATACGAGAAGGACCGCAACGAGTGGGAGATCGAGCGCGCCGAGCTGCGAGCACGCATCGCCCTGCTCGAGGGCGAGCGCAGGGGAGTCGAGAACCTCAAGACCGACCTCATGAGGAGGGTCAAGATGCTCGAGTACGCTCTGCGCCAGGAGCGCTCCAAGTACCTCTCGTCCGGCGGCAGCACGATCAACTCGCAGTCGGCGTCGTCTCCCTTGTCGGCCAACGCGCCTCCAGCCAAAAATCCGCTGTTGCAGGGCCTCGAAAAGGGCACCTCCAGCAGCGGTCGCAGCTCGCCCGCCCCATTCCCCGAGGCTGCGCCTACGGCATCCGCCATCGCTGCCGCAGCCGGCTCGGCAGGTGCAATGGGCACCGGCCTGCTTTCGCGCTCCACCTCGAGCGCCAAGGACCCCAAGTCGCGCGCCAAGAGCCGAGAGTACCTCAAGCAGTGCCTGCAGGAGATCTCCTACCTCACCTCGGCGTCCACATTGAATCCGCTCCCGGACCGCGGCATCGCCTCGGGATCGGCTGCCAACGGCACCAACATGCAGAGCGCGCTACGACCCCGAAAGACGATGCTCGAAAACGTGCCGCCTACGCTTCCTGCCCCTACCGAGTCGCACGCCGCCTTGGCAGGATCCATCAGCCGCGCGTCGGGAGCCGCTCTGAGCATGCCAAATGCCAAGGGTGGTCGTCCCGGCCGATCTCCGCTGTTTGCCTCAGAACCCGTGCTGGAGGAGACGAACGAGACTGAGGAGCCTCAAGAAGGCGGTCTGGAGACCGTGCCAGAACAGCGAGAGGTGGATGGTGCAGAGCAGCTCAGTTCTGGCGCTTCGGAGTCCGTCGCGCCTCTCAAAAACCCTCTGAGCGCCACCTTCGCCGAGCCCGAAACCTCGAGCAGCGCCAGCCCCGACGAGACCGGCGAGGAGCAGCGCGAACAGGACGAGGCGCCCGGCAGCTCGGGCTCTTCGGACTCGTCGCGCTCGTCGCAGTCGACGGACTCGCGCGGCAACTCGGCGGGTAGCATGACGGACCAGGAGATGGACGAGCAGGAGCAAGTGACGGCCATCTTCAAGCCGGGCGGACGTGACTGGCAGAAGCTCAAGGAGGCAGGCATCAAGAGCCGCGAGCGGCGCGAGAGCGAGCGACAGGGCCAGGCGGCGGAAGAGGCGTCGATCATCTCGGAGGCGCAGCAGCAGCTGGCCATCACGTCGGAAAAGGTGAACCAGCTCATGAACCGTAGCGGACGGGCGGCAGGCTCGGAGCGCAAGGACGAAGAGGAGCTGGCAAATCTGAGCCTGGTCGCCGAGGACGACGAGGCGGCCAAGGAGGCGGCGGAGGCGGCGGCAGACAGCCTGCTGTGGAAGTCGAAAAAGGTGCTGCGAAGCCACCTTGACGCGGTGCGAGCGGTGGCGTTCCTGCCGAACGAGATGTGCCTGCTGTCCACGTCGGACGACAACACGATCAAGTTCTGGAACCTGGACGCGCAGACGCTCAACCAGCCCGCGGGCAAATCTGGCACGGACAGCCAGCCGCTGGTGACGTTCCGGGGCCACTCTGCGGCGGTGACGTGCGTGGCGGTGTCTCGCAGCAAGCGACGCTTCTATAGCGGCAGCCTGGACTCTTCGATCCGCGTGTGGCAATTGCCCGACGGATCGACCGAGGCGTACCCGCCGTTTGAAAAGTCGATGGAGCTGGGCTGCCTGGTGGGCCACTCGCAGGCGGTGTGGGATGTGGCGCTGGTGCCGGACCGTTCGGACGACGAGGGCCGACTTGCCAGCGCGTCCGCCGACGGACTGGTCAAGGTATGGAACGTCGGCGCGAGCCAAGCGGAGGGCAAGTCGAAGGCGGCAGCGACGCTCGAGCTAAGCTGGGACTACTTTGGCACCGAGCCTGCGGAGGAGGCGGCCAAGGAGCGCGAGGATGTCGAGAAGAGCGGCACGCTGCCGGTGCCGACGTGCGTGGAGGCGTGCCACTGGGACCTGCGTCTGGTTGCGGTATCGTACTCCAACTCGGTGGTGAAGCTGTTTGAGCTCGACACGGGACGACAGGTGCGCCAGCTCAAGAGCGACGAGACGTTTGACGGCACGGCCGAGACGCAGATCAACAAGCTGGTGACGCATCCGACGCTGCCGCTGCTCATCACTGCGCACGAGGACGGCTACATCCGCATGTTTGACCTCGACACGGGCGCGTGCACGCTGTCCATGGTGGCGCACCTGGACGCGGTGACGTCGCTCGACATCGACGCTTCCGGGCTCACGCTGGTATCGGGCGGACACGACTGCAGCGTGCGATTCTGGGAGATCGCCGGCGGCACGCTCTCGGGCAAGGAGGGCAGTGGCGTTGCGGGCGAGGCTGGCCAGTCGGGGTCGGCATCGAGCGCAGTGTGCCGACAGGAGATCAGCTCGCACCGCAAGAAGGCGGGCGAGGGCGTGCTGGCGGTCAAGTACCACCCGACAGCTCCCTACTTTGCCTCGGCAGGCGCGGACGGCGTGATTCGCATCTACGGCTGAGCGGTGCACGCTGCTGCCTGCCGAAAGGCATCTTTGAAAGCATGTTGTAGCAATCGTTCGATCATTTCATTATTCTCGCTGTCTGATCTATTGGGGAGAACAATCGTGATTGTGGCTGTAGTTTGAGATGGTGTCGACGGAAAGAGGGGGACGACGGACATTTTGACTGGCTGGTTACTTGACCGGAAGAAGCAGGCGGCTGATGCTCTTATCTCGAGCTGATGATGGCCGGGCTTGGCGTGCTGGGAGGCTTCTGGTCAAGTTTTGGAAATTCGAACGCATGCGAGCCAGCAGCCGGCAGCAGAGGATGCACAACGTGCATACGAGGGGCGTCAGAGGAATCCTTCCAATTCGCTCCGGTCGAGCCACACTGCGAGCATCAGCCGGGGCAACACGCGGCTGTCCTGCATCCAACCGCCTTGGCCGCCGCAATCACTCGAAATCCAAATCCGCACCCCAAACGCACAGGTCAACAACGTTGAGCCACGAGCGTAGCCTAGACCGGTCCTCCATCTTCGCTCGGAACCTTTGCTGGATCGACATCGTGATTGGAAGCTAGCAGCTCATCGATTCTAGCCCTGCGACTCACCCGGAACGAGCGGCTAGGAACACTGCTTATCGGTCCCACAAAGCCGCCTCGCACAGTGCCGCCAGCGCCTCCACAGCACGCCATCACCAAAGCGCTTGCCCCACCAAACATCACCCCCTTCCCTTCGCACGCAAGCATCGAGTTCCAACACCAAGTGTTCGGCGCTCCTGGCTCTCTTGACCCTCCCGTCTCCGTGGACCGTCATCATCGCCTTCCGGCATCCGTCGTCACGTCAGGCTCGAGACGCAATATCGCCTTGACGCTTCGTCAGGATTACAGGATCCCCCCCCCGCGGCTAGTGACTCAGCAGCTTCTGCCAGGACAAGTCAGCCGCTAGCCAGCCACAGACCGGCTCGTTGGCCATCATGTCTTCTGGTAAGTCACCTCTCGTCGTCCAGTCTCCCGGGGCAGTCGTTCGCAGCGAGAACCTTGATTGCTAACCTCTTTGTGCTCTCTTCATCGTCTTTTCCTCTCGCACTCCGTTTCTACGCACGCTCTCACGTTCGGACGTGCGGCGTCACTTCCGATGACATAGGTGCAGGCGGTGGCCCAGAAGCCGTCGACGAGGCCTCTTCTCTTCTCCCGGCCAACCACTCCTCCCAGCCCCGTCGCGAGTCCTTCAGCATCGGCCGTCTCATCAACCCTTTCCGAGGCAGTGCAGGCAGCGCAGGTAGCGCAGGCGCTCAACGCGCCACGGATCCACAGCAGTACCAGTACGACGCTCGACGTCCCTCGAATGCTTGGACTCCGACCAGTCCAAACGCCCCGCAAAACGCCCAGCGCAGGCGCAACAACAATAACAACAACAAGTTCCCTCGCTCGGTCACCTTTGACTCGCCCCACTCCTCTTTCCCACCCGGTCCCAAGCAGGACCGCTCGAGGGTGACGAGCTACCATCCGCCCTCCAACAACCGCTCGCACGGCATGGACGACGACAATGACTCGGGCTACGACATCGAGCGCCAGGGCTCCGGCTGGAACCGTCGCAGCGTCAACTCGTCCGCCTTTAGCCACCTCGAAGGTCGCAGCTACCGCTTCCAGCCCTCCCAGGACACGGCCAGCCTCGCCACCTCGCTCGTCCCGGGCTCCTACACCGCCACCTCGTCGTCCATTCGCGACGAGACCGCTCAGCTCGCCGGCATGATCATGTCCGACGACGAGGCCCAAGGCAGCACCAGCGACTCGCACATGTCGCACATCTACGACATTGGCGAGGGCGACGAGGAGCCCTCTCCACCTGCGCAGCTCTTTCCGCCGCGTGCAAAGGATGCGGCCGACTTTAGCCCCACCACCTCACCCATCGCCTCTCTCGGCGTCCAGGCCGGACCCAGCAATCTCACCCGCGCCATGGCCGCCTCCCACCAAACTAGCCCTCAGAGCGCAAAGTCGTCTCTCCGCTCCGAGGATGATGGCAGCCAAGCTACTCCCCGTGTCACCTCCTTCCTCGGCCTTTCGCAGCCCGTCGCCACCCCGCAGAACCTCGCAGAGGAGGACGAGCTGGAGGACAAGAGCTTGGGCGCAGGCCTTGCCGCCGCCTCGCCTGCGAATGAGTCGCGCCCGCTGTCGCGCAGCCGTTCGCGCTCATCCGCCAGGCGCACGTCTCGTTCGCATCCTGCCTCGGCGGATCGCTCGGTGTCGCGCGACCGCCAAGAGTCCGAGACCGGCCAGTCCTCTTTCAGCCAGTTCAGCACCTCGGAGCAGCAGCAGCGCGCCGGTATCGGTTACGGCGCCCTAGCTCAGGCCGAACAGTCCGTTTTCGAGGCTGAACACGGCATCCCAAGGCAGCCACGCAGAGCGTCCCACCATCCACCCGAGCCCCAAAAGACGCTCAACCCGTTCTGGACCATGGTCCCCAAAGGCTGGAGACCGGGCGAGGGCGAATACCCCATTCGAAGCCTCAACCCGGCACAGCACGTCCACGACTTTATCCAATCGGTTCGCGGCATCACCTGGAAGTCGGCCGCCGAGGCAAGCGTCGAACCCATCCGCCTCATCCCGGCCGTCATCCTCGGCATGCTCATGAACGTCCTCGACGGCGTCTCGTACGGCATGATCATGTTTCCCGCCGCCTACCCCATCTTTGCCAACTTTGGCGGTGACGGCGTGTCGATGTTCTTTGTCACCTGCATCCTCTCCCAGCTCGTCTACACGCTCGGCGGCTCCATCTTCAAGGGCGGCAACGGCAGCATGATGATCGAGGTGGTGCCCTTCTTCCACATCCTCGTCCGCATCATCATTGAAGAGCTCGGCGACGAGAATCCGCAAGCCGTAATCGCCACTACCATGGTGGCATTTGCCCTCTCGTCCGTGCTCACCGGTCTTGCCTTCCTGCTGCTGGGTGCGCTGCGCCTTGGCGTGCTTATTGGGTTCTTCCCGAGGCACATCCTCGTCGGATGCATCGGTGGCGTCGGCATCTTCCTCATCGAGACCGGTCTCGAGGTCTGCAGCCGACTCCAGTCCGAGGACGGATTCCAGTACAACCTCGACACGCTGCGCTACTTTTTCCAGTCGGGCCACATGGTCGCGCTCTGGCTGCCACCGCTGCTGCTCGCCGTGCTGCTGCGTGTCATCACCTCGCGCTTCCACCACCCGCTCATCTTCCCTGGATACTTCCTCATGATCCCCGTGGTGTTTTACGTGGTGGCGTCCGGCTTCCTCGGCATTCCGATTCAGCACCTGCGCGACGACGGCTGGGTGTTTGACATTGGCGAGTCGGCCAGCAAGGCGGCCTTCTACCGCTTCTACACCTACTTTGACTTTGGACAGACCAGCTGGCGTGCGCTGTGGGCGACCATGCCTACGCAGCTCGCCATGGTCTTCTTCGGCATCCTCCATGTGCCCCTCAACGTGCCCGCGCTCGGCGTGAGCATCAACGAAGATAACGTGGAGACGGACCGCGAGCTCGTCGCACACGGCATCTCCAACATGCTCGCCGGCCTGATTGGCGTGGTGCCCAACTACCTCTGCTACGTCAACAGTGTGCTCTTCTACCGCGTTGGCGGCGGATCGCGCCTCAGTGGTCTCATGCTTGCGGGTGGCACAGCGATCATCATGATTGCAGGTCCTGGCACGATCAGCTACCTGCCCATCATGATCGTGGGTGCGCTCATCTTTGTGCTGGGCATCGACCTGGCCAAGGAGGCGCTGTACGACACGGTCGGGCGTGTGAATGGCTGGGAGTATCTCACGATCTGGGTGATCGTGATCGTGATGACGTACTGGGACTTTGTCATTGGCATTTTGGCGGGCATCATCATCGCATGCTGCTTCTTTGTGGTGCAGACCTCGCGCCGGAAGACGGTGCGCGCCATCTTGGACGGCAGCGTGGCGCGCAGCACGGTGCGACGCCACATGACCCAGCGCCACTTTCTCGACGAGGTGGGAACGCAGACGCAGATCATCAAGCTGCAGGGCTTCCTGTTCTTCGGCACGATCAACTCGGTGGAGAACCTGATTCGGCGCGCGCTCGATATTGCAGCGTGGAACCAGAATCCGATCCGGTTCCTCATTGTCGACTACACGCTCGTGAGCGGCGTCGATTTTTCGGCCGCCGAGGCGTTCCTGCGCATCAACCGGCTGCTCATGGCGAAGGGCGTGCTGCTCGTCTTCTGCGGTCTCAATCCGGACAGCGACGTGGGTGTGGCGCTGCGCAGCGTCGACCTGTGGGCGGACAGGAGCGAGAACCTCGAGGTGTTTGCGAACCTCAACGAGGCGCTCGAGTGGACGGAGAACGAGTACCTGCGCGGGATGTATGCGTCGAGCCTCATGGCTGCCAAGGCGTTTGGCAAGGCGTCGCTGGCTGCCGAGGGCGGGCTGACGGTGCCGGACCAGAAGCGCAAGCCTGCGTTTGTGCTGGATCATTCGGTGGAAAACTCTCCGCGCCGACATCACCTGCACGAAGCAGCCAAGACGGCGGTGCGAAGCGAACGCACGACGCCCATCTCGGAGATCGTGCCCACCTTGCCGACCGAGGCGAAAGAAGGGGACTCGGCGATCCCGGCGGTCAAAGCTGCGGCTGGGCAGCCGTTGCCTTTGCTGGGCATCACGTTCCGGGCGTATCTGCAGGGTCCGACGGGTGTGGCGGAGGAGGAATTCTTTACGCAGCTCGTGCCGTACTTTGTGCAGGTGCGCAAGGGCAAGGGCGAGGTGCTTTGGAGTCGGGGCGATGTGGCCGACGGCATGTACCTGATCGAAAAGGGCATTGTCAAGGCGCGCTACGACTTTCCGCAGGAGCAGTACGAGATCAACGAGGCCATGCTTGCCGGCACCATTGCGGGCGAGCTGACGTTCTTGTCGAGGAAGGAGAGGAACACCACGGCGTATGCGGATACAGACTGCACGCTCTGGATGATCGACCAGGACAAGTTGGAGGCCATGCATAGCGAGAGGCCCCAAGTGTACCAGCGTTTCGTCGAGGTTCTGCTCAGGGTGGCGGGCGATGAGCAGGAGAGCATCATGTCCTACCTCGTATCGAGGCTCAGCTGAAATGGAGAGTTGTTGGATCTGTCACGGGTACGTGCGTGCGGCGTGGCTGAGTTGGTGTTCAGTGGCGGAGCAGGCAGAGTCGGGGCTGTGAGGTGTCGGGGGAAGGCGCGGGTGCAGACTCATGGCACGATGCAAGTAGAATGCAGACGTCGGAAGCATTCGCATCGAACGTGGTGGCGAGGTGCAGGCTGAACAGCCAAGGGAGAAGCTTGACGAGCCGCTCACACGATCAAAGGACGCAGCAAACGTTCGGCATACCGACATGGGGCGTGAACGACCCACAGCGCGTTTGGGGAGAAGCACAATCTGGATTCATTCTGCGAATCGTGACTCTGGCGAGTGCGATGCCTAGCGCTTGGCCTCCTTGAGCCTCGATTTGAACTGATTGAGCCTGCGCATCCAAGAACCAAGGTCAGCATTCTTGCTTGCACCGCTCTCGATTGTCACGGGGGGGAAAAAAAAAACATACCTCTTGTGGTTGGCCATACGAGCTTCGTGGCTCGAGTCGGATCGCTGGCCGGCGGTGGACTGGGGCGCGACTCGGAAGCCGGCAGTGACGGCCTGTGGGATGCCGACGTTGCGACGACCATTGTCGACGATCTGCGATGCGCTAGCCGACGTGCGCGCCAGCACGTCCGGGTTCCACTCGGCAGACGCAACGTGACGATCGCGGTACGACGACGAACGCTTCAACACCGGTCGTGACCATACCTCTATCAATCCCCCCACCAACGTCAAAAATGCCAAGAAAGGTGAGCACGAAAGCCTCATCCTTGTCACCACGGGTTGTGGTCAAGTATCGCTTACCGATGAGGTGCTCTGCGGAACGCTTGATGGAAGGCTCGACGCGGTTGCACATGCTGTAGAACACAACGACCTTGCCCAGACCCGACATCTTGAGCGAGATGGTGTCGATGGTCATGCGTTCCAGGATCTGGAAGAACTGGTGCTGGATGTTGAGCGCCGGCAGCGACTTGTCCGGCAGCGGCTCCAGCCAACGCTTGACGCCCTCGAGCAGGTTGTTGTCCAGAATCGACTGCTGCAGATGGTTCCTATCGTCGCACCAAAAAACGGTGTTGCGTCAGCAAAAGGCTCGACCTGAACCAAGACGGCGCTCCTGTGGACTTACTTTTGGAGCGTCGCGACGACCTTGGGGAGCAACTTGAGCTTGTTGGTCGCCGGCTTCTTGAGCTTGTTGGCCTCCTCGTCGTCGTCGGCTGCATTGACCATCTCGCGGCGTAGAGCGGCCACCTCTTCGTCCGCGAGCAGGTCAAGGTCGTCTTCGCCCGCACGCTTGCGCGGCGCCTTCTTGCGGCCGGCTCGCAACGCCTCCTCGATCATCCGGTCCGTCCTTGCGCGCCGCACTGTATCCCTCAGATCCACCTTGACATCAGTATGCCTTCTTTTGCATCAGCGGTCGAGGTTCTAGCGGCACTTACTCTCTGCTTCGGTCATGTTGGCGTACGGATCCTCCTCCTCTTCGGGCTCGGGCTCGGGCTCGCGGGTTGCGCTCGCGTGGACAGGCGAGCCGAGCGGGCTGTGGTGACGCTTCCTCTTCTTCTTGCGCACGGTGCCGTCTTCGGCAGCATCGCGCGCCTCGCGCCGCCGGAAGCTGGGCAGGTCCTGGTCGTCGTCCTCATCGTCCTCGTCAAAGATCGCGGCGGTCTGCGCAGCTGCGTCTGTGTTCTCGCTGCGGACGACGGTGGTGAGCGAGTTGGCATCTGCCGAGGTGCTTGGCGCCGCATCGATGCTGCCGTGACCGTCCTCGGCTCGGAGCTCGTCGAGATTTGGCTGTTCGGCTTCTGGCTGCTCTGCAGAGTCTTGTGTGGTGGAAGGCACGGGTGCTGCATCGGCGGAGGCAGTGGTGTCCTCCGGCTGCGACAGAGTAGGTGACTGGGGTGGCAGCTCGTGCTGCGCCTGCTCCTCGTCCGCCATGGTTGCGATGAGGCGGTGGATGTGTAGGCGTTGTGAAGCTAGAAAGGGCAGGTGGAGCCAGAACCGATGCGTCGCGCACCGCTCGGGATGCGGAGACCCTCTCACATCTTCGCAGCTGCGCCCAGCGGCACGTGAATTTTTCGATCTCCAGATGTAGACTCGTGCGACATTACAGATTCCGAAAGAAAATCGAGCGCCTTCCATTCGGCCTCTCAACAACCGATGAACAATCTCAAGAGCTTGCGGTCCGGTACATGCGCAGCACTATGAGGCACGTGAGCAGCACATACTTCCGTGAGACGCCATGATCCGGAATTGCAGTGATGCTCGGACGATGAAGAGCCGCTATGCAGTGTCTGCAGTGCTGGGTGGATCAACGCTTCTTGGTCTCCAGCAAGGAGCCGCCAGCACCGCCCTTGCCTTCCTGCTCCATGCGGCGTATTCTACGGTCGACAACGGAAGGGATCGGACAGCTGTCGGCCTCAGCATCGGTGCCGCGCTGGCGGTAGAACTTGGCGCAGCATCGGTAGAGGTCGTCGATGAGGTGCTCGCACCGCGCCTGGTCGAAGCCCGACTTTTGCAGGCACGATTGGATCGCGCAGGCGCGTGGATAGCATGGATTCGGGTGTTCGCGATCCAGCTCGTCCTTGGATGATGATGCCGCCATGGGCGCGGTTAGTTTCGTCCGACGCTCGAGGGATGCCACCGAGGAATGCTGACCGAGGAAGAACGTGCACAGACGTATGCCTGCGTTCCAGGGAAGACCAGCCGACGTTATCACCGACGCAGCTGGGAGAGACTGCTTCAAAGTGCTTGCGCGGATGAGCTTGAGTATGAAAGCATGAAGGTTGGAGGTTGAGGTTCCCAGATGCAGGAGCACGCCTGCCAAGTGGAGGCTTCGAAGCGAGTCGGCAGCATTGGTTCAAGAGCAGAGTGGAGGTGCGCCAAGCCCGATGCATCCCGATGCCTCGCTCCGCGGATGTTGGCTGGCATTATTTGGCCAAAAGAAGCTTTAAACCTAACTTTTGGATCTGGCTTTCTGTCGAGCTACGCTTCTTTCGTGAGCAATGATGGCGCAGAATCTGGCTTTGTCACGAGCATCACCTCTCCCTAATCGGGTTGCCAAGCTGCAGCAGACTTCCCTGTTGCGCGCAAGCCGCTCATGTGTGCGTGGCAACGTTGCAACGTTGTGACGCAAGCCGCAGGTGAATCAGCGAGACAAAGGGGCCGCCTCAGACGAGTCGCATGTTGTGGGCCGCCTGGCTAGCATGATTCGGATTCGAGAGCTCCAGCGGCCCGAGCGGCCCCAGCGCCCCAGCGGCGCTCGGCCCTCTGCTTCTTTGGCTTGAGGCTCGTATCTGGCGACGCACCATGGCCCCAAGAGCTTCTTGGCGAGAAGCATTCGAGTGCCCCGAGCGCTGCGGAGCGTGACCACGGGGAAGAAGCCCAGCCAATCCCGGCGTGATCATCTGTCTTCAAAGGGACTTTTTCGGCCATTGTTCTCGCGCTCACGCTTTTCGGCGCCATTGTCACAGAGCGCTCAGTCCCTTTCATCGAGACACAGTAGCTGCATCTTCCTGGCTACGTCCTTGGCCTCATCGCTTTTCAAATGACAAGAGACGCTGCCACTGCGCAGAGAACGGCGAATCCAAGCTTGAAACCAAGGCAACAAGGTGGGCGAAATGCAAGCGCCAACTCAGCCAGCCAGTTGCATCGCTGCTCCGGTCACTCCTTCATCGACAGCAAGCAATGTGGGCTCAACCAATGTGGGCTCAACCCTTTCGCTGCCTGAGTTCAGGCAACGCCGCTGTCAACATATATAAGCAAGCCAGCAAGCCAGCAAGTCAGGCACCCGCACTATCCCGGCTCCCTCCCTCTGCCATCCCCATCCCCATTCCTCTACTTCTCTTCACTTGCCCGCTTCGGTGCGCATGACCACGATGAGCTCAACACCGCTGGGCACCGCTCAGCCAGCTCCTCCGCTTCAACAACTTCCAGCCGCCGGGCTGCCCACCACCCAACTTCCAGTCTTCCCCTCTCTCAGACCGGACACGATAGACGCAAGACTCCAAGCTTTGGAGCAGAACGCCCATCAGCAATCTCAGTGGCAAGCCTTGTTCCTCGCCAGTCAGACCGAGCTCGCCACTTGCAAGACCAAGAACGCGGAGCTCAAGAAAGAGATCGACAAGCTTACTCTCAAGCTCCACAGTTTCCAGCAGAGGGTCAACAACGATTTTTCCCTCGCCAGCCGCCACTTCAACACTGCATTCCATCGCCTCTCGCAGATTGAATTTCACCATACCAAAGCCCATCAGCAGCTCGACGAGCGTCTCACGCATACTGTGCAGCAGCAAGCCGCCCAAGCCGACTCCTTTCACAGTCGCTATATGGCCCCCCTCCTCTCGGCTATCCACCGGCTTCTCCCTGGTGATCAGACCGATTGCACCCAGTCAAGCATCTCTAGAAGATCTCCTTCGGTCACAGAAAGGGAGGCAGTCGACACTCCCGACGCTTCGCTGTTGCCGTCCATCGTGCAGCAGGTGATCTCCACTCTGCCGCCATCTCAGCTGCTCGGACATACAGCAGCCGACCAGATCCTGGCGCCACATGCGAGCCAGCCGCCAATCGAAGCGGCAGCAGTCCCACCGAAGAGGTCTGCGTCATCGATTGACTCGGCCTCCGCTTCTCGTCCTGGGAACGACGCTTCTGGCGTGGAATTGCCTCCTGAACTTCCTTCCACTCTGCCAACCCCCGCGCAGCGCGCATCCCATTCGGGTCGCATGTCAAATGCTTCGACTTCGTCCGAACTCAAGGCGTCTCCGACTCATGAGGTACAGCAGCTGGCGGCTCATCAGACTGTCGAGCTTCCGAGCGCGACTGCAGCCTCGTCTGAGTCCTCGCCGGGCACCAAAAGGAAGCGAACGCCATCGGTAGAGCATATCAGAACGCAGATTGCGCGGCGTTCTACGCAATCATCCATCAAGTCGGCGGGCATCTCTCCAGAGTCGACTCAATCTGCTTCATCTTTCGAAACTGCACCAGCAACACTTCCGTTGTCCCACGCTGTCTCTTCGGCCACTCCCCATGTCGGAACTCCACCATCCAGGGTGGTGCAAACGGCCGCCTCTGAGGCCATTCGACCACGGGACCAACGACCATTATCGACTCCGAGGGACCTTGCGGCTTCGCAGCATCATCTTACCGGGCACTCCACAGTACCTTTAGGGCCGCAAGGGGGCTTGTCAGTGGCTCAGTCACCTGTTGACATCTCGGATACACCTGCTGTGCACAATCGACCGAGAGCCGCTGATGCCACCGTCACCAAGAAACAACCGCCTCAACGACTGCTTGTGCCCGAAGCAGGCGATGCTCGGGTTCAACCGTGGCAGCAACCCAGCCCATGTTCAGCACAGGGTCTGGTGAAATCGTTGACTTCACGTTCAGCCCCGAGAGCCGTCAATGCAGCACGTCCCGATCCAACCGCCAAGTCTAACGCTCCCTCTCTGCCAGAGCGGCCTTCGACCGCCGATCTAAGGATCGTGAGAGGGTCGTCCTCAACAGCGCTCTCGACATCTACTGAAGGTCGAAACAGCGCGCCTGCCCAAGCACCGGCCACGCATGCTTCTCCGCCTCCTCGACGCGTCACTGCTGCCGGAGGAGCATCCCGACGCACTTCACCGTCTGACGATCGTCGATCTGGCATGGAAGCGGCTCATTCTCGTCTTGGCCCCTCCGACGCATTCGTCGCGCACGGAACGTCGTCATGCGACGTCGAGATTCACGAGGGGAGCGCAACCTACACCGAATCGCTCTCGCCCAATTGGAGCAGACCGAGATCACCGACACAGGCATCTCCGCCGACCAGCCCCGACGTCCCTCTCAGCAGTCTCGCCTCTTCTACAGACTCATCATGGCCACGACGGTCCTCAGCCGGACCGCAGGCTAGCACGGCCGCAGTCGGGCCTGAGTCGAAGTCATCGAACGAAGACGCTCGAACCACGCAATCCGCGAGTGCGAGGCAGGGCCAGGAGCCAGTTGTGCGCCTGCGAGGGCTGGCTGCACCAAACTCCAACTCAGCTTCACACGTCGCTGCGCCTCCTGCGGAAGGCCCTAAGCGGCCGTCAACAGCTGTCCGCGGCGCTCTGACGGCAGATCCGCGGCGCAAAGCGCTCTTGCCCACGCAGCCTGCAAACTTGTCGGGCTTGTCGACGTCAACGGCGTCCGCAGGGCCTATCAAACCAGTAGCGCCTTTAAAGCATGCACTGCCCAGCAAGCCTCTCGTGTCAGCAGACCAGGCGGCACGGACTCAGCCAGACACCTCAAGAAGTGCATCCACCCTCATCGCGCCGACGAAGTCGCCTGTGCAAAGCGTCACACCAGAGCACGGCGCCATCGTGCCCCCTTCTGTGCACGCGGCGGAGCGGACTGATTCATCGTTGCCTCGCTCGTCCGCTTCGAGCAGTGACCTGGGTCGAGATGGTGTTGGCGTACAGTCACGTCAGGAGGTCGGAGTGCGCCCATCTCCGCATGCGGACGCCGACGGATCTTTGGTGGCCATTTCGTCTCGGCCCCGGCGACGAACTTCCTCAGGATCTGCACCAGCATCGCAAGCTGGTCAAGAACCGCCGCAGGCTCCATCAGCACCCCTGAACACGAACTCTTCGGCTCGTGTCCAAGGCGATGCACGTCCGGGTCCAGAAACGCCATCGTCGGCGGAATCGCGTCAGCTGCCTGCTTCTGCTGCGGTAGAGAAGCAGCAGGCAGGTCAGCTCCAACCGCATAGATCCCTTCCTGATCCCGACAAGCACCAAGCAGCTGCGTCAGCCCATTCGGCTGCTCCTAGCTCCCAAGATCCTTCGGAATCGACAGCAGATCAGCGGCAAGGCGAGAGAGGATCCGACCAGAATCAGCACGTCAAGCATGATGCAGGCCCGGATCTGTCCAAGACTCGGACATTGCCGAGACAGCACCAGTCTCGAGTCGAGCGCTTGGCTTCCGTTAAAAGGACATGGGCAGATCGTGAGGGACGTAGCCCGTACTATTTCATGGCCTTCCTCGGCCGCTCCAGTCGTCCGACAGCACTCGTGGTAACGGACGACTCGCAGATCACGGAGCCGCTGATCTCTGAAGATCTTGCAAACGAGTTGCTCCAAGACGGGAATGCAAGCAGGGCAAGAGGATGCGAGTCCTGGCTTGAAGTGGATCTCAGCTGGCCCTACGACACCGTGAAGCCCCACGACCGCACGGTCGGCTGTCCGGCTTGGTTTCGAGCCGAACGATGCCAGTTCTTGATTGTTCCGAGGATCTACATGAAAGAAGGGATCTGCCTAGGCAGAAGGGAGCTGCGCCACCTCAATCTGAGAATGGTCACGAAAGGTGCAGGTGGACGACCATACCTTAGCGTTCCGACAGCATACGAGCAGGGTGTCAATCTTTCCGCCTTTTCTTCCCACGAGCGGATGCAACACTTAACCACACCGTTTCAGAGGCTCTGTCACCTTGCCGAAGTGGCGGTGAAACGCTCGCAGGCTAGCTGGCGCGTCCGAGAGGGCACGAAGAGGCGCGACAACACGGACTCGCAACGCTCCGACAGTGCGCACGGCGACGTGTCAGGGAGCAATGCCTTGCCTTCGCACCATGAATCCCGGGCATGGGGACGCAACACTCTTCCAGAGGAGTCGTCCTTTGAGGCTGGGTCGAGCCACGAGAGAGACAGCATGTCCCGCGAAACTGGCGAGCGGCGCGACGCAGAGGTAAGTATCGACGTTGAACCGACATGGCGTACTGCCAACCAGAGACGACACAGCTGACGCAATTGATGCTTGGGCGCTCGCAGCACGTTACTCATCGCCTTTCAACTTCTCTGGGAAATGCAACACCGCTCAGACGTTCGACGGCCCGGGATCAAAACATTGACAGGGGCAGCTCGGTCGCCAGTGCAGAAGGTAGCAGGACGCCAGAGTTGGACTCTGGTTCGCCGTTAACGCCGTTGAGCCAGGTTTTGGAAGAGGAGGAGGAGGAAGACGAGTTGATGGACGAGACAAATCCAGAGCACAGGTCGGCGCCCGAGACGCTACAGGACCTTACCGAGGATGAGGGACGCGCTGTCATAGAGCGCACGCAGAGGCTGCTCCAGGAGCAGCAGGAACGGCGCGCACGTCCGGGCTTGTACGGGGATGCGCCGCCCTCGGGGCTGCAGTTGATGGGAAGCTCTCACCGCTTCAAGACCTTCGGCGATGCAACGCGGTGATGCTGTCTGGGCTGGATGCCTCAATGAACTCCTTGTTCTTCCCATGCCCATCTGAAGCTGCATTGAGTGTGAAGCTGAGCCGAGTGCGATCCCGAATGTGAGCTTGAGCTTGTCTGTTCTCGGTGGCGGGCAGGATCGAATGAGTCGAAAGAGTTTCACTGCTCATTGTTGGCCAGCCTGCAGGATCACGGTCTTGGATCAACTCGAAGCGAATGTGGATTCACAGCTAGAAATCACAAAAGAGGGGTATGCATGGTGATGGCAGTGCGGGGCTTACTGTCCGACGAAAGCGGCGATGTCCTCGGAGATCTGCCTCGTGTATCTCGTGTTTGCCCTGCCGATGCCGAGGAAGAGGCAGGCGATGGACTCTGCATGTGCAAGATTCCTATACGCCCTGAGTCTGACCTGCTGGACGCCAATACCAACGAGCAACGTCTTGAGGAGCGTGCTCTGCTCGACCGGGACCACATTATCCCTGCCACCGTGGACAAGGAGGAACTTGGACGGCAGCAGTCTCGTATCGACGATGTTCTTGGCAGCATACAGCAGGTGGGCGGGCGAGTGGATGAGGCAGTTGAAATGCGACGGCCCCGTGGCCCGGCGCAGGTAGCTGAGATGCTCGAGCCCACGCTCGGATTCGGAGCGAAAGCCCTTGATGACATCGCTGATCCCGCTGAGCAGAATCACGCCTGCGATCGCAGGCAGCTCTACCTCGGGCTCGTAGATCTCGACGCGACGCAAACCGTTGCCCACCTCCTCTTCCGCCTTGCGGTACGCGTCGGAACCCAGGATCGACGCTGCCTCTTCCGCCTTGCGCGACGTCGTGGACGACAACACGGGCGCGGAGCCAAAGCGCGCCGTGGCACCCATCACGTGTCCTGGCGGCGCAGACGGTGTCTCGTCCGCCTCGTCCACCCAGCCTTCACCACGATCGCCGCTCGTGTCTGCGGCGAGGGCGTCGCCACTGCCGCGACGTGTCTCGGCCAGACCGAGCCGCACGGGCTCGTCGTTGTTTTCATCCAGCGCGTCCGTGTGTGCGCCCGCGGGCACGGCGGACCGACGCAGCGAACCCGAGCTGCGCACCTCGCCGCTCTTGAGCCACTCCTCGTCCTCGTCGTGCTCGCCGTATCCGCGCGCGTAGGCGTGCATGCGCGCGTGCGACGCCGCCTCGGCTCCACCCGCGTGCTTGGCGCGCAGCATGTGGCGCTCGCGCTCGTACGCGCGGTCCAGATGGCCTTCGCGACTCAGCACCACCGCCTCCTGCGAGATGGTGAGCATGATGAGGTGCGCGCTGAGCCCGTGGCCAAGCACGTAGATCTTGGACGCATCGCCGCCATAGCGCTGGCAGTTCTTGGCGGTCCAACGCAGCACGAGGCGCAGATCGATGATCGACGACTTGATGCGCGATTCGGGATAGTAGGTGATGTCGGCCACCACGACGCAGTAGCCCATGCGACGCAGCCGCAGCGCGAGCTGCAGATACAGCCGGCGCTTCGACGTGACGGTGAGCGGGCCGAGCATCGACGGGATGACGACGATGACAGGCACGCCATTGGACGACATGGAAGGCTGCTGCGCGCTCGTCGATCGCAGGCCCTCGGGGCCTGTGTGTTGCTGCGGCGAAGGTGCGTCGGCGGGGAGGTAGACGTCGAGGCGCTTTCCGCGCGATGGGCTGCCGTAGAGGATGCCCTCCTTGACGACGCGCGAGCCCTTGGTGGTGCCGATGACCATGATGCGTCGGTAGCTCCAGTCAAAGATGGCTGGGAAGATGATGCGGAATGCCGCGACGGTGTAGCGGAAGGCGGCGAGGTCGACCTTGGCGCAACGGATGGGGTTGAGCGGAAGGAAGGGGCAGAAGTTCCTGGGCGACCAACGGTGGGCGTTGGTCCATGTGGCGGGCAAGTCCTTCTGCGCCAGGAAGAGGTAGCAGATCCAGGCGACGGCATAGAGTAGCAGCACGGAGATGAGCAGCAGGATCGGGATGGCCATGACGCCGATGATGGGGATGGCGCACGCAGCTGCGAGTAACGGCCATGCTGGCAGGGCGAGCGCAAGTGCCGGCAGGACCAATGGTTTGAGTACGAGTGCTAAGAAGCGCTGCGAGCGTTTGGGCAAAACCGGTGGCTGGGGCTGGTGCTCAGGATAGTATGTGGGCGATGGCAGTGCCGATGGGAACTCGACATTCGACAGCCGACGACGGTCGAGTGGCGTTGGTCTCCGGTCTTTCGTCGCCGCCGAGGCGGAAGGGCGATCGTGGCTCGCCATGCTGTCCACGATGCTGCGCAGCGATGAAGCCGAGGATCCTGGATCGCTTGAAGGATGTGCGTGGAGGATGGACGACGTAGAGACAGATGATCGGAAACGCGATGCGGCTAGGTCTAGCCAACGGTGCTTCGGAGGATGCAGAGTTAGTGGCTGCGAGCTGCTTTCAGCTCTGTCTCGTCGCGAGCAGCCGACTGCAGACGCGCCTTGCCCGGTCCCTGCATGAAGTTTGCCCGACGCTCAGGCGGTCAGCGCTCGGCAGCGCTCGCGTTGATTGAAAATGAAGTCTCGTGCCCGGAGTGTTGGTCGCCTCAGCCAGCTGACCGCTGAGACACACACACTGCTCCTCTGCACGTCCCAACAGAAATTTAGAGCGTGAAATTGCGATGGCTGCACAGTGCAGCTTTGAGCCTCGGGCCATATCGTGCTCTCGAGGGCCTCCTGTAAACAACGCCTCGGACGCCACGCAATCGCAGCCATCCGTATCGGCGTATCGATTCGTATCGCAATCGGCATGAAAGCCGAGCGTCAGAGATGCCTCAACTTCTTGATGATGCACGTGCCAGTCGTGGCGCTCCGCCATCCTTCTCGAGTGCAGCTCACAACGAATTTTGACCTAACATCACTGATCGCACAGACTCACTTTTGCACACATGGCCACGATGATAGCAATAGCAACGGAGATCTGAAGGGCACAAATGATAGCCAGATCAGCTCTCGTCTTCCCAGCTTTCGGGAACAGGTCCTTCGGCGGTCGACGCTTCTGTGGCTGGAGCAGTGGCGGCAACGTCAGTAGCTGCCTGTCGCGGCGCGTTCGGATTCGGCACGATACCCGCGATGGGCGCCGTCGTCCGTACGCTGTTGACCTGAGCAGCCATGGTGGGCTGCCCCCATACAGGCTCGCTGACCTGCGCGGGCGAATTTCGGCCAGAGCCCGACGCTACAGCTGCCCATCCGCGGTCCCCGACCAAGCTCGGGCTTGCTTTGCCCAGCCCTGCCGAGCCACTGCCATTGGCTCCGGCTCCGGGACCGCCTCGTTTCATAGCGAGCGAAGCCCTTGCCGGGCCGCCAGAGGCGCGACCGCCATTGCTGAGCAGCGGCTCGTCTTCCCTGCGTACCACGTTCTTGTTGGCATCCACCGTGCAGAGGATGGCATCCCGTGCAAACTGCTCGCGACGCAGAAGCGCCTTGAGTTCGGTCTTCATCATGATCAGCCGAGTGGGAGAGTCCGGCGAAGTGACAACCACATCCTCGTCGCCCTTCCAGGTCACCACAAAGTTGATCGTGCGCAGCACCGGTTGCAACAGCGATCGCAGCGAGTCCTGGTCGTGACCAAACACGCCAGGCAAGAAAACGGCATTGAGCGGCTTTGGAGCTTCGGCCGATGGTCGTTGCAACTGAGCAAGCCCGACAGACTTGCCAGACTGCAGATGCGACGACGACTGCTGGTGCTGGTTGGACATGAGCGTAGCGCGTGCCGCAGCAAATGCCTCGGTGAGCAAGGGCTTCGGGATGCGGCTGTCTTGCTTGCGACGGATGCTGACGCTGCGACGTGGCTCTTGGTCGACACTCTCGCTGGCCAGCTTGTATACCGCCGCGAGCTCGTGCGTGAAAGCGCGTTGGAACTTGTTGGCTGGCGGCAGGATCATGCCCGCGCGTGGCGAGCGAATAAAGTCGTTCAGCGTCGCCTCCAGCTCGTCGCAGAACTTGCGGTTGGCAGGAACGGCGTAGTATGCGAGCGTGCCGTAATCGTACGAGGCCGGCGCCGTCTTCTCCGAGGGATTCAGGCCGAGCGCCTCGGCCAGCTTGGCGTTCCTCTGCGCAATCATGCACGAGTCGTTGCACTTGAGCGACTTTTCCTTGTTGGGAGCATGGATCGACACGCCACACTTGATGCGCGACTGCAGATTGCCGCAGGCACACTGCAACGTGATGATCGCCTGGCATGCTTCCGTCTCGGGGCACGACGACGGCGCATGGCACTTCTCCTGACAAGCGTGCTGACACAGTCGACGTGGCTTGCCGCACGTCTGCGCGCAAGGCGGGCACTCTTGTCCAGCGATGTGGCAGATGCCTTGGCAACGGTGGAAGCCGCAGTTGAGCAGTGCATCGCACGGCTGTCCGCAAGACACGCGCCATCGGCTGCATGGCACGTTCTTGACAATGTGCTTCTGGCAGTGGCACACCTTGTCCGTCAGGTAGACGCACGGAGGGCAAGGCTCGTCTTCGTGGCAGTCGTGCGGCATCTTTGGATGGCCACAGCTCGGCGGCGGTCGCACGCACGGGAAGTTGCATCGCACCTGCGTGCCACACGGCACCGGCGGCTCCAGAACGGTTCGACCGCAGTGGCAGATCAGCTCTTCGAAACTCGCCTGCAGGCACGGCGGACAAGCTCCACGGTGGCACGTCATCGGGCACTCGTGCGAACCGCAGGGCAACGGCTTCGAGCACGGGATCGAGCATTCGTGCAGGCCGGCCGGATCGAGCGCTTGCAGCTCGGACAGCGTGGGTCGCTTCTTGGACTTGCTCTTGGCTTGGAAGTAGAGAGGACAGCACTGGCGGTTGCACTGATGCTTGCCACAATGGCGCAGCGACTGGCACACGGTGGAGCACAGCACCTCCTGGCCTCCCTCGAGTTCTTCCTGCTGACGTTCGTGGCAAGTTCGACTCTGCTTTGTCTCTCCACAACGGCACGGCGTCGACACGGGCACCCTGCATGGCGGACAAGGTCCCAGGTGGCAGACCGCAGGGCACGGATGGCCGCAGATCGATACCTTTGAGCACGTATTGCCACACGTCGGGATTGGGTCTTGGCAGGACGTTCGAGATGCGACGGGGTTTGCACCGCAAGGGCACGTCTTGACGAGACTTGGCGAGGAAGGACAGACGGGCCGTTGTGGGTCGCGAGCATGGCAGGGCTTCGAGCAGTAGTGGACACCGCAATCGAAGGGGCGCCGACACTCGCCATCACAGTTGAAGCGGCCCTGGAAGCCACTTGCGCTCTCGTCATCGAAGCTGAGTTGTGGGACACCGTCTCCACAGCGCATCGTCTTGGTGTGCTTGCCACAGTAGCAGCGCGCGTCTACTTGGATGGAGCAAGGTTGGCACTCGCCTGGATGACAGGCGTCCTCGCATGTATGGCTGCCGCAGTCCAGCTTCTTGCCGCAAACGCCACCGCAAGAGGTGCCGCGTTGATGGAGAGCAGAGAGACGCGCCTCCTTGGCTGCGGTCTGCGAGCAGCGCATGGGGATGGTTTGGGCACCGCAGAAGCATTTCTGAGAGACGGTGACAGCACACGGCGGACAGGGACCTGGATGACAAGAATCGGCGCAGCCGTGAGCGCATTTGCCGCGGCTGCATCGCTGGCCACAGCCATGTGGATTGGCACCGCGACCACCAGGAGGGTCTTGCACGCGGCCGCACCAGCACCAGTAGATCTTGGGGACGTCTTCTCTTGCATACTGGCATCCTGGACATCGCCAAGTACCGCGTCGGTTGCGGATCTCTGGATCTTCCTGCATAGCATTGTGCTCTTCGGCCTTCTTGACGCTGCTGTCGGCCCACTTGCGCACGCATGGCAAGTGCAGCACAGAGTAGCACTGTGAGCACGACCAGGTGGCTTGGCGGGTTGTGACGGTGCTGTAGCAGATGACGCAATCGTACTCGCCCGACGAGAGCTCGGCGAGAAGACGAGAACGTAGATCGGCATACTCGACTGGCTCTGCTACAGCAGGCACCTTGACCGCTGGCTTTTTGGCGCGTCCGTTCTGAGATGCCTTGGCACCCTGCTGAGCGGAGGAAGCCGGTGCACCACCTGCATTTGCCGAGCCACCGGTCAGCTTACCGCCGAACTGCTGTCGGCGGGCTGCTACGCGTGGCTGAGGTGCATTGTCCTGCTGGCTGGCGTTCGATTCGCCCGCTGCATCTGTGGCGGATCCATTCGATTGGCTAGGTTTGGAGACCCCGCCTCTTCTGGACTTCTTCTTTGAGTTTGACTTGCGAGCCTCTTGGACAGCCGCCGATGATGAGGACGGCGTCCCGTCAGCACCTGAAGAGTTCTGATCGGCGGTTTTGGCAATGCGGTCTGCCCTGCTCCCGTCGTTCCTTCGGCCCCGGCCGCGCCCGCGGTTGTTTCCGCGACTTGGCTCACGACCGGGCTGGGCCGAGCTCGTCGATGCTTGCGCTGATGATAGATTGAGATTTTGAAGGGCTGGCAGTGAGGCTTGGACAGCAGACGCAGCTGCTGAGGCTTCAGACATTACCGGGAGCAGTTTTGCGCTTGTGAAGAATCGTGTCCGTCTGCGATGGTTTCGTGTAAAGGAGCGGAGTCGGCGCGCGAAACGAGCTTAGGATCAGGAGCCGACGCTGTCCGATGTCCGATCGGATCTCTTGAAAGCTTGTCTGGATAGGGACTGGATAGGGAGGTCGAAGAAACCGTGTAGAAAGCAAAGACGATGGCGACTCGTCAAATAAAGGCTGAGTCGAGATCCCCTCGAAGAAGGAAAGTGTTGCTCCCAACGACGTCAGCTGAGTTGGCCGCCACACAGGCCAGGAATCTGGCACCCGGCTGCATGCAGAAGCTGCTGAGTCGCGTGCCATTAGGTGAACTCATGGAAATTTGGCTGCGATGTTGCATCTTAAACGTCCACAAGTCAAAGCCAGAACTGGAAGATCTCGACGGATCGGTGCTTGCGATTTGATCTGCCCTAGATCGGGAGATTCGTCTTTCTTCTCAAAAATTGGAAGGGCGCAGAAGCAAATCGTTGACGCCAGAGCCTTCCACCACATCCGCGAAGATTCACGACGCGGGGCTGGAAGGTTGGAAGTTGAACCGGGCGCGGACATGATAGCCTGACGCAAAATTGGAAAATTACACTCGACTTGATGAGCAGTGGAGGCGCAAAATGACGTGAACCGAGCAGGCCGGAAAGCTGGATGGCGCGCAATGCAGGCACAGGAGCAGTGATCGTCATGCAGCAGGGACACTTCCAACTCGTTCTTCCAGCTTCCGCGCGTCAGACTAAGCCCCTGCGACTGTCCGCTCCCGCCACAGTCCCGCACACGCCGCATCTCCTGGCTCAGCAGAGAAGCAAGTGGATCGATGTCGAAGCTGCTCCGGACTCATTGTCGCGAGCCAGAGCGCCAATCAGAGCCGCTGGCTGCAGGTGGCGACGCAATCTTGCTCGCACCGCTGAGTCGACGCACAAACATGCCCGAATCTCGACCATTCTGGCTGCCGGTCGACGCTGATTGCGGGTGTGCAACTGCGCCTTGGGTGGCCAACGTCCCGCAGATGGCACTGGGAACTTCGCACGCCGTCCTCGGAGGGCACGGTACATAAGCTCGGACTTGCCTACCTCATTCTTCCCGCTCCACAACCACGATCCCGTCTGAACATTGGCTATCGAGTTGCACATACCCCTTCCGCAACACAGCACAGCACCTCACAGACATCTCTTTGCATTCCACACCGCAAACCCCTTTCCCCCTCCAAAAGATCTAGCACCGCCATCATGACCAAGGCTATCGGCATTGATCTCGGTACCACCTACTCGTGTGTCGCCGTCTGGCAAAACGACCGCGTCGAGGTCATTGCCAACGATCAGGGTAACCGCACCACCCCCTCCTATGTCGCCTTCACCGACTCGGAGCGTCTCATCGGCGATGCTGCCAAGAACCAGGTCGCCATGAACCCCCACAACACCGTCTTTGACGCCAAGCGTCTCATCGGTCGCAAGTTTGACGACGCCGAGGTCCAGTCCGACATGAAGCACTGGCCCTTCGAGGTCACCAGCGTCGGTGGCAAGCCCCAGATCCGCATCGAGTACAAGGGCGAGAAGAAGACCTTCACCCCCGAGGAGGTTTCGTCCATGGTTCTCCTCAAGATGCGCGAGACTGCCGAGGCCTACCTCGGTGGCACCGTCAAGGATGCCGTCGTCACCGTCCCCGCCTACTTCAACGACTCGCAGCGTC